TTATAGACCACTAACCGTGGCGGCAAATCCTAGGCCGGCTTCTCAGCCTTGACACTACTGACAGGTGGGGCAGCATAATTCTTTGTGATGGGGGCCCTCCTGTCCCTGAGGAGGCTTAACAGCACTGCTGGCCTCTACCCATCAAATGCCTTTAAATGCCACCCACACACACCAGTCCTGACAACCATAATGTCTCCACACTGCCCCCTCCCCCCCGGAGCAGTCCTCCCTGCCGGAGAACCACTGTCGTCAAACATCAGACAGAAGAGCCCTTGGGACCAGCCCACCCGCCTCCTCCTTTTACAACCGAGAACATGATGCCCAGACACGGAGACAAGAGATTAGAGGTTCTTTTCTTAGCCTCAGAGGAACCGATAACAGAAAAACATTGGAAGGAAGGAAGTCACTTTCATCTCGCCGAATATTCTCTCTCTCCCTCTCCCTCCCTGCCTCTCTGCCTCCCTCTTCCTAATATGCATGATTCATGCTAGAATTTCTATTTACTAATTTGGTTATCTAGCTACAAATACCGTCAAGATTAATAATTATTATAATAAAGATTTTGAAAACAGCCATTTTTCTGTTTCTTTGTTCACAGGGAAGAGGTGAACGGCAGGTGTGTGATATACACGCATTGAAGACGGCTGTGCGCAGGCCACCTGCAAGGCACATACAGACATAATCAATACAACTGCCCTCCGAGGGGGCGCAGGTACCCCATTTTACAAAAGAGGGGGCAGGCTCATGGAGGTGAGGCGGCTGGCCCAAGGTCACACAGCCAGTGCGCTCCGGAGCCAGTGTTGGCACCAGCCTGCCAGGTTGCAGGTGCCACGAGGTCCAGGCTGTGGAGCGTTAGAATGAGCTCGTGATCATCTCCCGAGAGAGCCGAGCCCCTCAGGGAACCCAGTTCTCTCCGAGCGGCTTGGATTCCGGCGCTGGGAGCTTGTCAGCATCTCCAGAAGGAGGCTCGGTCTGTGTGGCAGTTGCTATGACAACTGGTTTTCCTATAATTATAGAACATGGTGGTGACACCACAAGCTGCACACACAGGCACTTTGTGAGGACCTGTCTCCCCCTGACAGTTCCAGGAGCTTAAACATCACAATTTTTAAAAATCACATTTAATGTAATTACACACTACAGCCACGGAGGCCCCGAGGACGAGAAGGGGGGGGGGGCTGGCCCTCCCACCGCCTGATGGGACTGCGGGGCAGGCCACGTGGCATTTCTCCTCGGGAAGGTTCTGCTTTGTGTTTTCCTTGGGCTCAGTGCAATTCAGGGTTCGGCCAAAAGTATATTTAAAGGGAAGAGAGAAGCAAAAAAAGCCACATGAAAATTAGCCTCATGCTTTTCAAGTAGCAGGGAGAGGCAGCCACATGTTAGTGTTCCAGCCCCACTTTCCCGTTTAGGTGAGTGCATGCTCTCTCTCCCAGTCCTCACCGCGGGCCTTTTGTGTAGACGTCATTACCCGTCTTACAGACGGGGACACACAGAGACAACGTGGCTTTAGTCACACGGACCCAGGGTGCACCCCGATCCACGCTTCCCTGCTCCCACGCTGCCTCTCTCCCCACGGAGTGTGGGGAGCGGGCAGCGCTTGAAGGTGGGGGCGGGGAGGGGGCCTGGTTGGTAGGGTTTGCCCGTTTCCATGGTGTAAATACTCCTATCGGAGCTGGTCCGCAGCAGCCTGTAGACTTATACTCATTGGCCCTGGGAGCCCTTCCCCGCAGGAGCGCCGGGGCCAGGGCACTCACTGACTCGCCACGCCTCCGGCTGCGCACACAGTTCAGACCGATTTGACCGGTCTGAACCCGGGAGGACGAGGAGCTGGCCCTGGAAGCAGCCTCGCTGGCCCCACGTGGCCACCCATCACCCAGCCCCTCCTGCCAACCCCAGCACGTCCCTCCTGACGCAGCGCCATATGGGGTTTGTTAAGGGGAACATACATTAGGCCACCCTGTCTTCTCAATGCCAGTGACAACAGAGATTTGTGAAGGTCACTAACGGCACAGCTGCTCCGGCCGAGAAAGCACCGGCCAGACCCAGACCGGCATCTTCCTCCTGACGGTCAGCCCTCCAGCCAGAGGCACCCCCACAGGCAAATGCTTCCCCCCAGTGACCGCTCTGCTCCTCGCCAGCAGCATTGTTTGTAATAACTTACCTAAACGCTCCTCAAAATAACCTTTTTTAAAAAAATAGCAGAGCAATAAAAACCAAGACAGCAGATAATAAAGTAAAACAGCTTATCTCCACTTGCTGCTGTCAGCAAATGTTAGAATGCTAAGCCGCGAAGGCGCCCCTGGCACTGGGATGGGAAATGGGAAGGAGCAGCGAAGCTAAAGATGGGGTCTCACCTCCGGGAGCGGTGTGAGGCGCAGCGCTGATGGAAATGCCTCGCGGGCAGGAAGCAGAGCTGGCCCCGGTTTTAATAAGATCCTGAGTGCAGGCGGCCACTCTGCGCCTGTCAGGTGCGGGGGCTTTCTGTGCGCTCAGCCCTGTGCCCGGTTATTAAACATAATAAACATAACGGCTTCCCGTGCTGGGGCCAGGGACGGCGAGTCTCTCGGGTGCAGAGATGACGCACGGCAGGTCACCCATGGGGCCACCACCACACCTGGTGGAGGGCACAGAGCAGGGGCCGGGCCCCCAGGGGAAGGACAGACTGCGCATGGGCAGCGGGCAAGACCACACAAGCCAGGAGCCCCTGACCTGGGTGTTGAGGGATGAGTAGGGGTTTGCCTGGAGGTGAAGGACTCAAAGGCATTCCTGAAGCATCAGCCTCTCCCACAGCACAGGCCCCTCCCACTCACAGGCCCCTCCCACAGCACTGACCCCTCCCACCGCATAGGCCCCTCCCACAACATTGGCCCCTTCCATTGCGCAGGCCCCTCCCACGGCAAGGCCCCTCCCACCTCACAGGCCCCTCCCACAGCACCGGCCCCTCCCATTGCAAAATCAGCTTCAGAAGCACCCAGCTCCCAGGATAAGAAAGAAGGAGGGACTTCTTCTGTGGCCCCATCTCCTCACACAAGCCTTCGCAATGACTGAAGTGCTTCTAGGTTTTAGAGAAGACAATTCCCGGCCACCCTTCCGGCCAGTCCTGCTCAGCCCGTGTCTGCCTGCCCTGCTCTCTCCTCCATTCTCTCCGGTTTAATTGCTGGAGCTGTTCCACCTGTGCGCAGGCACTGGGATGAGGGACAGATGCGTCTGTGCCATCCCCATGGTTACCTCTGCCTGAGCAACATGCTGGAGGGTGGCCGGGTGTACCAGTGTCCGTTCCGAGACAAGGAGTGCCTGACTTCACCAGGTCCCACCCAGTCTGCAGCTGAGCTCCAGACCAGCTACATGCAGGGCGGTAGCACCCCTCTTCTGTCTCCCCAGGTGCTCACACTCTAAAAAAGTGCCTCCTAGGAAACGGTTAGAACGGTCCACTCCGTGCGTGTGGTCCTGTACACCGAACAAGAGGGAGCTGCGCTGATCTCGCTGCTCCCACACAGTCTTCCCGGGAGGGGGGCACATATCTGAAGCCCCTGCCGCCAGGACACAGGCCGGCTTACTTCCAGGCTGGTGAGTGAACGGCAGGCCTATCCCGCCTCCCACACAGCTGCCTGCTGTTCCCCCCGCACCTGCAAGCCGTTCAGGCAAGTCCGCGTCTCCTGGGCCCGTGCTGTGTGCCGGGCACTGAGACTACAGCCAAAAACACCAGCCACCCTGCTCTCACAGAGGGGTCAGCACCGGGCAGTGCCCCTTCGGGGAGATGCCACACGCCCTCCGGCTCGCACACCCGCTGCAGGGGCACGGATCTGGCCCATGGACAGCCCACTATGTGTCCATGTGCACCACTGTTCCCAGACAATCTGCCCAGCGCTGTTCGCCTCCCGGAGCGCCCAGTCCCGTGGACACTAACGTTACTATTAGCTGTGCGCTTGCCATGCTCGGAGCCAAGTGCTTTGGCGTATTCTGCGTCACCCTCACGGCAATCCTATTACTCCGTTTGGTAACAGGCTGTGCCCTGCTCGGGGCCACGTTGCTCAAGCCCAGCTAGATGCTCCACCGTCCAACTCAGGACGCCTGTCCTGCTGCCTCCCCGTTATCATTAGGTCTGCCCACGTCTCTCTATCCACTTGCCGTCCTTGTCTGAGCTACTGTTGATTTTCACTGGGACCATTGCAGTAGCCCAATAGCCTCCCCATGGTCCTTCTTGCCCACTGCAGCCCATCAACCACATAAAAGTCAGTGCTTTGGTCAAAACCCAAATGCAACCATTCTCTCCCCTTTTTAAGGACTTTCCGAGGCTTCTAGCATAAAACCCAAACTCTCCATGCGTGAACTAGACCTGGGATTGTCCGCCCTCTGCCCATTTCCCCGCCTCATCTTTCCTGATCCCTATGCCCCTCCTAGGCCTCCCTGCTCGTTTTCTGATCCCATGTTGGGGCCAGACTCCCTCCGGCCTCAGGACCTTTGCACAAGCCAAGCTCTCCTCGGCCGCTGAAGTCCAAAAAACTTCCCAGGGGCTCCTGCTCCCACGCTCACAGAGCAGGCTCTGGGTCCCCCCAGGCACCTCGTCCCCGGGACACAGGCTGGTCCCTCTTCCTGGTGACTGCCCCCCCGCCAGGAAACCGAAAGGCACCATTTGCTTTTCCCACCGAGAAGGCTGCTTTTCTTTCCCTTTGTCCTCATTGGATCTAACTGAGTAAAATCCGAGTTTCCTGGAGATGGCGATGGGCAGGCAGGGAGATGGGCGGGAGGAAAGAGGAGAAAGGAGATACAGTTATCAGTTATGAGGTTATCCAAACATTCCGGAGCAGAAGAGGGGTGAGTCATCCTCCAGAGGCAGCGAGTCTGTTATTTGATTAGACCCAGTGACCCAGACGGTGTGGCCCCAAGTGATGGTCCAGAAATAGCCCTCCGTTTCCGCTCTCCTGTAGGAGCTGCTGGGCTCTGAGCCGGCCGGAGCCGGCCTTACCTTCCTCTTCCTCTCACACCATCGAGACACTGACCGTAAACTCAGCGATCTTCGGCACCCGGAACTTCCCTTTGTTCTTCTGCTCCGGCTGATACTCCGTCCTGGTCTTCACGATCACCTGGAAGGTGCGAGCAGAGTTAGCACACGTGGAGACCGCAAACACACCATCCTCTCCCCTCCTCTCCTCCCCAGGATCATGGCGCCCCGCATCCGAGCAGCAGAGAGCCTCTCACGCACACACACACAGGGAAACCGGAAATTCAAACTTCCCTCACGCTTCCCCATCCCAACAGAGACCGCCATGGCCAACAATGTGGGCCGCCCCTTTCCAGACGCTTTATGTGCATGTAGATGCAGGTGTCATGCATACTTGCTCTTTATGCAAATACGTAGATCCTTTTCATGATGGCTTGCACTCTTATGAATTATAGCCTGCTGCTATCCCACAACACTATGCTAACATTTTCCCTCCTAGACAAGTATGTATTTTGCCTTTTGATGTCACTTGATATCCAGTGTACGCACAGAATCGCCATGGTTGGACATTTAGCTTGCTTCCGCAGTGCGGGTCACACACACAAGCTGTGCTGAGCATCCTGTGGCTAATCCCTGGCTCATACATCCATTCTGAATGGAGCCAGGGACTTCCACAAACAAAAACATGAAGGTCTATTGGATCTACTAGTATGTTACTTTTCTAAAGTCTGAATATGTTGCAGAGGTGGTTAATATCTTATCAAGATACGCTGTCAACCTGCCTAGACACGTACAGAAGGAGCGCAGTCCCACGGTCAGGCAGAGCGGAGGGAGAGAGAAGCCTGACAGATAACCCGTGATTATCGCCAAGTGCCCCAGCACGACAGGGAACGCTCAGGGCCTCGCCGCTGAAACACGGACAATAACCACAATATAACCCCTATGTAACCATCAGGGTGCCTGTGAGCCAGAGCCTTGGCAGGTAGTTCATGGTCGGCATTCTAAGATGGCCCTCCTGGTTCCCACCCGCGCCCCTGCCCCACCCAGTGTGCAGGCACCGTATACTATCTTCCCTCGAAAGTGTGGGTGGGGCCTGTGTATGTGATAGTCACGCCTCTAATGACGCGACGACACCTGCAGATCTGCCACAGGGACTGGCCTCGAAGGAGGAAGCTGGCATGGTGGGCGGGACATACAGCTGTACCTGAGGGCAGCCTCTAGAAGTTGAAAGTGAGCTCAGCCAACAAGGGGTCACTCAAGATAACGGGAACTTCAGTCCTGCAACCACAAGGATCTGAATTCTGCCAACAACCTGAGCAGGCTGGGAGAGGCCTCAGGTGCCAGGTGAGAATGCAGCCCAGCGGACACCTTGGTTTTAGACCGGCGAGACCCTGAGCACAGAACCCAGCGTCGGCACCTGGACTTCTGACCTACAAAAACTGTGAGATGATACATTTGTGTTGTTTCAGGCCACTTAATTTTTGGTGTTTTGTTACACAGCAATAGAAAACGAATACAGCTTCCCACAATGCCAAGCCCATCTCGGTGATCGCTCGGCTTTCTCCCTTCCTTCCTAGGTTCTTCGCCAGCAGACTGGCCACGTGCCTGCACATCGCACAGCAGATGGAGCCAGCATCTGTTTCCCAGGCCTTCCCTCTTCCTCTCTATATATTATCTGTATATACGTCTATCCCAAAGCTTCTCACCGGCTCCAAACCGTCTTCCTTGTTCCATCTATTATAACTTAAAAGAGCCTGTACTGTAACCGACATGTTGAAACGGGAGACGGAACTAAAAGTATACTATGATTGGAATGAGGCAAGGAATAATCACGTCAGGCAATGTCATTCTAATTGTCATAATAAACATTTGGTAGCTGCTTCTCCAGCTCCCATTTCTATCCTCAATCAAAAGCTTCTCCCAGCCCAGCTGGTGTGGCTCAGTGGTTGACTGTTGATCTCTGAAGCAAGAGGTCACTGATTCAGTTCCCAGTCAGGGCACATTACCCAGGTGGCAGGCTCAAAGCAGGAGGCAGCCGATGGATGTCTCTCTCTCTCTCCCCTGAGTGCTGACACCCCCATCTCTTCCGAGTCTGCCTGCCCCCTCCAGCTCACACTGCACAGCACCTCGGGGCCCTCACCCAGCACTCAGGTGACCCGCCGGACATCTGCCCTTGGACCGGCTCAGTGCACCACGTCCCCGGCAAAGCCCTTGGGCTCCTGTCCCACCTGCCCCTCGACATTTTCTTCCCTGTATCACCCCCAGCTCAGGAAGAACCAGCATTATCCACACCATCATGCATGTCCGATCATATCCAGGAATCTCCCATGACCCTCCCCTCCCTTCATCCCAAACCCATTCCATCTCCAGCTCCTGCTTCCTCAGGAATGTCTCCCACGTCGACCCATTTGTGCAGTTACACCTCCGCCACCCTGTCCAGAGCGCCATCATCCCTCCAGGAACACTGGCTCTGCCAGCTTCCTTGTTTCCCTTCCTCTCTCCCCGACCCAAACCCAGGGAAATGAGGGGGCAGCACACACTGAGATCGGAGGGCACCGGGTAGGCCATGTGAGGGCGGCAGAGCTCAGGATGGCGGTCCAGGCCCCCCGGAAGGGCGGTGAGGAGCTGAGGGGTACGGAGCAGGGAAGGGCGGGCGTTAGAGGTGCATCGCAGGGAGAGGAGTGGACACAGGAGAGATGAGGAGAGCAGGAAAGTGCAGCTCAATGGAACCCACTGGCTACGAGGTGTGGCCCGGAGCTCCTCTCTGTTCGCAGGGAGAGGGGGCAGAAACCCCCTCTGTAGGAGACACAGTGGCACCCCCTTTTTCAGTGCCAGGGGAAAGCACTGGAATGCTGGCCAATCGGTATTAATTGGGCCTTGGAGGAATCAGCTTGCATAAGCAGAGAGAGAGAGGAGGAAACGAAATGTGCAGAGGCAGGCTTTGTTCTCAGCAGTGGGGAGAAAATGGAGCAAAACAGAGCCTGAGCTCCCTGAACGAGAACAGAAACGGGCAAACGTGAAGCGCGCAGGAAACTCTCCCTGCTCGCCTGTTACTCAGGGGGGGCTTTAGAGATATTTGGAAAAAATGAACCTCCAGATTTTTCAAATATCACTGTGGATTTGGGCAAAGAAAATGAACGTGTTTTCTCCTCCTATTTCTGTGTCAGTCCCACGGTCCCGTGGGCGGCGGGCAGCACGGAGAACATCATTTACCGTAATTGTGAAGGACGGCATTGGGAAAACGGGATAAATTATTCATCCCGAAAGGACCCCTCATCTGCATGGACCCCCTCCGCTGGCCTGGCGGGTAATACATGGCGGTTCAGATGGCGCAAAGTACAGATGATGAAAATTTAAAATACTGCTCCCGGGATGATCAATAATGAAGAGGCCCCCACAAGGCAAGGCCCGGGCTTGGCAGGAGCAGAAAATAAGGTGCGGAAGCGCTGACTGGAGCGAGGCTGTGTTTTTGTGAGCTGGACTTGCGCAGCCAGAAACAGACGGAGTGGCACCTGCAGGCCACTGAAACAGGCTGGCGGCTGCAGCGGGAGGGGATTTCAGAGCAGGGAGGACCACGGCCGGCGGCTGAGCACTTACCGCGTGCCAGGCACTGTGCTGGGGGCCCGGTTCATCCTCCTGGTTCACCCTGCCTGCAACACTTTCTCCTTTAAAACCGTTATTATTGCCCTGGCTGGTGTGGCTCAGTGGATAGAGTGGATAGAGTGTCGACCAAAAGGTTCCAGGTTCGATTCCGGTCAAGGGCACGTACCTCGGTTGCAGGCTCTTTACTGGCCCCGGCCTGGTCAGGGCTCATGCATAAGCAACCAATCAATGTGTCTCTCACATCGATGTTTCTCTCTGTCTTTCCCTCCCTTCCACTCTCCCTAAAAATCCATGGGGAAATGTCCTCGGGTGAGGATTAAATAAATAACATCGTTATTATTCCCGTTCTTCCGAGGAATTCAACCTCAGAGCGTCAGCCACCCGCCTCGGATGGAAGGCCTGCTCTTCCCTGCCAGGCTTTTAAAGGGGCCGACCCCCTCTACTTCTCTATGACAATAAAACACGCACATGTAATCCATGGATGGGCCCTCCATGCCATGCTCCATGAAGCCGCTCCCACTGAGCACTGTGCCTGGGCGGGAGCCCCAGCAAACCCACCTCATTTTCAAGTTGATTTAACCCGTTCCCTCCCATGGAACATTCCAGCTGTTCCCAACATGTAAAATACCCACAGGCCTTTGCAAACTGGCATCACTATGCCCATGGGGCCACGGCCTGCCGGTGGGAAGCGTGTCATGTTATAAACAATGTCACACAGCCCCGGAAGCAGGCGCCGGGCGTGTAACCGGCAGGAGCACCTGGGCCGGCTCCCACCAGCACTGGCAGCCCCAGCAGCAGCGCTGGCTTTTGCCATCTGAAGGCAGAAAATTCTACTTTGTTTACAATTATGTTTTTAGAGCTGCTTAGTGGTCACTGTATTCCTGTGTGATAGACCTGTCCAGCCACAGCCTCTCCCCCGGGCACCTCTCCGGGGTCTTGGAAGAGCAGCAGGGAAGTGGCAGAGATGGGCATTCCTGCTGCCCCATCCGGGGGGGAGGGAGGAGAGGCGGGAAGGCGGAGGGGAGGGAGCTGATGGCTCTCGGATCCCGTGTCTCAGGCAGAGAGAAGCACCCTCTGTGGAAGCCACAGGAGACCCAGGAAAGGACGTAGGATTCAGCAACAAGAGTGTCTCTCCTCTGCGCCCCTTCCGAGTCCACATGTCCCGCCCCTGAGCCCTGGCCCTGAAACCCCACCCCTCTCAGCTCGGGTCACTTTCTGAGCTGGCTGCCAAGCTGTCCACCCGGAGCCACGTTCTTGGCCCAGGGAGGAAGGGAACGGCACCACCGAGGACAGCGTGCAGGCCTCACGCCTTTCCCTCGCAGCCACCCCTCTGCAGGTGTCTGCTCACTCCCCAAAGCCAGAGAGGCTAAGCCACTTGCCTGAAGCCACACAGCCAGTAAGTAGCTTGGCTGGGGTTTGGCCCAGGCCCTGGGACCGCAGAGCGCACGTGGTCTGCCACGCACAGGACGGAGTGTGCCGGGCACCAGGGATTGATCTGGAAGCGTCTGCACCGCTTTCCCTCTCGAACAGGCGAGCCAG